AGAGGTGAGCGAACCCGGTATGTGTTCGCTCACCTCCCGATCTACTGAGCCGACCTGTGACAGTCTCATTGTCACAGGTCGGCTAGAACTATGAGGTGAGTGGAAATCACTCATCTCATAGTTCTCCTTTAAGACAAATAGGCACACAATCATTTTCAAAATAATACATGCTGCAGATCAGCAAAACAATGAGTATATAGGGGATTTTTTAGTTAAATACCGGATAACGGAGAGTTTACTGTATATTGTTATGTAAATTCACACAGGTTTGCCAATGTTTTGGCACCCCAAAATATATAGTACAATACATTTAGACACAGTATTGCCAATATGACTGTTTGGTGGGTCCACAAAATCTGATTCTGACCTTCAAGGTAATCGTCACATCTCAGACAACAAAAGCCCAGCATATCTCCAGTGCTGTTTTTAGATGTAGACAGCTAAGCATGTTTCATTGACTATATGGTAAATCGTTCTCTTTTTGGTTAGAGTCTCGCCTTTCTCCTGAAACTACTGGGGCCACATAGGATCACCGTGTATAAGTATATTATTTGTTATTTGTATATAGAACATTCACCACGTTTTGTTGATCATCCATCAAAAGAACCATGATCACCTCTTGAAGATGGATGATAATTACTTTTTTATCTTCAGAGGAGAATATTGAGAAACAGCATACAAAATTCTGTTTGCAAACATGAAAATACTGGTCATAGGTAACACTTCCTTACACATTAAGATATACAGGGCTTCTTTAGTTGGACCAGCCAGCTCAGTAGTTCACTTGCACCATTTAATTTACTACCATGCAAGGGCCTGATTATCTTCAAACAGTTATGTAGCTCCTGGAGTGATTTTCTTGGATGGATGCATTCTCCCTATAAAAATGACTCTTGACCATCACAACTATGTCAGCTTGCAGAACATCCCATTCTAAACACATGGGTATTAATATGGAGGTGTCCCTGTTCCGCTTTATGGATATAAAAGCCTATATTTTGGAGTGTGTCTTTGGGAATTTGAGTACATTCAGCCTAAAGAGCATTTGTGAGATCAGGTACTGATGGTGGACTAGAAAACCTGATCACAATCAGCATTCCAAGTCCTTCCAAAGGTATTCATCAAGGTTGAGGTCGGCGCTCTGTGTAGGCCATTTCAGTTACTCCACACCAAACTCCTCAAACTATGTTGTTATAGACCTGGTTTTGTGCACAGATCCACAGTTCATTTTTTTTAATTGAAGTTGCTGTTTCAGTGGTATTAACATGTCTGGTTTTTTTTTAGGAGGTGGAAAAGGCAGGACAGTTAAACAAGACAAAAATAGCAGAAGGTGGAAGAAAACTAAAGTAAGCATGTGTATTTTTCTTTACAAGGAACACCGCTCAGCCCTTTCCCTGTTCTACATAAGTGCAAATTGTGAGCACCAGTTAATGGAAAGCAGGGCTGGTTAAAGCAGGCATTTGATTAATAGGCGATTGCGAGAGACAGTGTATACATGGGGGTTTTATTTTCCATGGCAATTAAAAACAGAATGACCAACTTCTGAAACCCATATCCTCCACTTACAATGCACAGATAAGATAATGGATTTTTTTTTTTTTATCGCTCACCTCTCTACTGTTCAGGAAAGACACCAATCAATTTTTTTTTATAGTTTTGGATAGCAAAAGGAAGAGTTACAAAATCAATCATGTTTTTATTGTTGTCTATATTGCTCATTAAGGCCCCTTTCACACAGAAGCTCCGATCTAGTCTGCCTGTCAGTTTTTCAGGCGGACCCAATCGGATGCCCAATGCAAGTCAATAGGCAGCCATGTCTAAGGCCCCGTTCACATTGAGCGATTTATCGCGTGGTAATTCCCGCGATATCGCTGCAATTTACAGCGCGATATCGCTCTCCAATGCTTCTCAATGGGGCAAAGGGTCCTGCTGTCGCAGGTCGTGCGTCGCTACAGCAGGACCCTTTTTGGAGTGGATTTAGCCGCGATTCAAGCTTGCTCAATGCAAGCATTTGCGATATCGCGCAAAATGCAAATCGCGCGACAAACGCGCGATTTGCGAACCGCTCAATGTGAACGGGGCGTAAACGGACGGGCGTCTGTTTACACTCGGTTACCTCCGACTCTCGCCATATCCAGAAAAATAAAACAGATCAGAGATCCATTTTGCCAGACCAGATCATGCCGGATCAGGGGTAATCGGATACAAACAGGCACATGTCAGTTTACATCCGATTCTCCATAGACCAACATGGGGTCCGATAAGTTTTTTCCTCCACAGCGGTGACATCCCCTCATACTGCTGTGATCTGGAGAGGATTCATGTATCCATCTATCCCTAAGGCCCCTTTTACATGGGCGGCATCCATCAGTACGGGACAGATGTCACTTTTGTAACAAACCTGTCCTTTCAGTTGTTTTCGTCCATCTTGCAATGGAGGAAAAAACTGAACTGATCCATGTTAGGACTATTGGGAATCAGATGTAAGCGGACATGTAACTTCCATTGCCCAATATTAATAGCACCAGACAGAATGGGGTTTGCACCCCGACCGAGTCTGTCTTGCTCCAGCATCAGCAGTTACTTACAGAAAAAAGTCCGGTCACACACACCACAATCTTCACTGAAAAATGTATTGTAGCACACAGGTACACATTGTCCTGCCGTGGATCCTCTTGACTCTTGACATGTTTCACCCAATAATGTGTTAAGAGGATCCAAGGCTGGATGATGTGTACCTGTGTGCTACAATAAACTATTCAGTGAAGCTTGCAGTGTGTGACCGGACTTTTTTTCTGTAAGTAAGCGGACATCTGTTTGTTTATATTCCAAAAACTGACGCAGGTCTGTTTTCATTTGCTGACCCATAGACTAAAGCCCGCCATACACCTTACAATTATCTGCAGATTTTCTGTGGTCAGATGGAAAAAGTGCAACAGATTGGCCCAGGTGGAGATGACTCCATCCACACAGTTAAGTGTAAATGGAGGAATCTGTTGCACCTTTTCCATAATTGTAAGGTGTATGGGCACCTTTACATTGTGCTTCCGATCAGGTACGCCTAAAAGACTGGCAGGCAGATCTGATTGAAACGCCATGTTAAAGGGGCCTATTTGTTCTGGTGCTCATTGTCATAGGGACTGGAAGAAAAAGGACCTTACAAAGGTTCTAAACCTTTAACATGCTTTTCAAAACTTGAAAAATATTTTGACTGGAGGTCTACTTTAAATATTAGTCCAGGCAAACAACAGATACCAATGTAAAGCCATGTCTGGAAGTGGTACCTCTTGCCAAGCTGATCTGTGCCTTTTTCTCTTAAAAGCATTGGGGAATTTATCAAAACTGGAGCAGTTGCCCAGGGCAACCAATCAGATTCTCTTTTCAGTTTGCTCAGGTAAGATTTGAAAACAGAGAAGCTGATTAGTTGCAGTGCAATTCTGCTCTAGATTTTGTCTGCTCCAGTTTTGATCAATTCCCCAATGTATTTAAGCCCCATCTTGATCTAAAAAGTCGTGATCACTTACTTTCCATGGCCATTTTGCTGCCTATTTACAGTAACGGTAAGAGGAGCCATCCTCTTTCAGGCATCACCGCCATTGTAGTCCCAGCAGCAGTGCTTGGAATACATTTCCCAGCATGCCTCTCTATCCAGCACACTGTATATATGGGTGTGTCTGCAGGAGGAGTGGGTCATGACTAAAGGTGTAGGGTCTTTTAGAGTTCCTCCTGAGAATATTGTGCGTCAGAGGTAGCGGCCTCTGTGCCACATCATCATGAATAAATAAGATTAGTACGATAGGGTGGTTCAACAATGCTGTGGCCAGATAGAATTCAATGGTGGCCAGATAGTGTAGCCGGCTGCAAGCTAGAAATTGTTAAGAGGACTGCGCACTGGCAGGATCAACAGGTAACATTAAAGTTGAAGCTATTGTTTTTAGACAAAGGCATTATGTAAAGTGTATTCATTTTTATGTACTAAGCACTGCATTATTTACATTTTTGGCTTAAATTCCACTTTAAAGTATATGTAAACCCAATCACTAAAATCTCAGCTTTAACTGCTCTGCTCCGATGTCTGCTCTGTTCAATCTCTGTGGCCAGCCCACTCCTTTTTTGTATACTTCAAACTACTTTCAGTCTGTCCAGTACTTAAGCCTTATAACCTTAACCTTATAACCTTAACCCTTGAAATGTACTAATCATCATTATTTGGCATGCCGTAATCATAATGTCTGTGAGATACCGTAGGTGTTAAATCAAAACCAAAGGTTTGAAGCTCAAAACAAGGGTACTGCTATTCTACTGTTTAACTTTCACAATGACAGAAAACATAGTGTGGCGTGTCATCACTAAATGCATCACTATCATTCTACATCACTCCTTAATCATTTCAAATCATTTAGTTATTGTTCAAGTATGAAGCTATTACAAAAAAATAGAAACAAATCATTGTTCTGTGCGTACCCTGTGTACACTGTGTGTGTTTGCAGATGTTGAGTGTCTTGTGTGCTGTGCGTGTATATGCAGATGTCACATGTCCCATGTGCTGTGTGTGTATATGCAGATGTCACATGCCCCTTGCTCTGTGTGTTTGCCGATGTTGCTTGTCCCATATGCTGTGTATGTGTTCACAGGTGTTGCATGTGCTGTTTGTGTGTTTGCAAATGTTGCATGTCCCATGTGGTGTGTGGGTGTGTGTTTGCATGTCCTGTATGCTGTGTGTATGCAGATGTTGCATGTGCTGTGTGTGTGTTTGCAAATGTTGCATGTCCCATGTGGTGTGTTTGCAGATGTTGCATGTCCTGTGTGTTGTATTTGTTTGCAGATGTTGCATTTCCCATGTCCCGTGTGTGTGTGTTTGCAGATGACGCATGTCCTGTATGCTGTATGTGTTTGCAGATGTTACATTTCCCATGTGGTGTGTGTGTATGCAGATGTTGCATGTCCTGTATGCTGTGTATTTGCAGGTGCCACCTAAAGTGTGTGCTCTGCTTGTTCCCATACTATACATGCACTTTGTAGTCTGTCTGTCATTATGCCGTTTGTGTATACTGCTTGTGCTCTGCTGTGTGTGCTGTGGGTGCTCAGTTTATGTGCTACTCCTTGTACTAATTCCTACCCTTTGTCATTCAACTTTCAGATGCCAGACAGTCAAATGATGGGGGTGGGACTAGGGGATGTGGTGGGGTAGGAGTTGGGGTTTGATCTCAGTTTGGACAGGGGTCAAGGCCCCATTTACAGACTGGGCCTAGGATGCAAAGGGATGACACAGGGGTCAATCTGAACATTAACAGCAAAACAGAATAAATGGTGGCTGAAGTGGCCGCGGATGGCACAGCAAATTCTACAAGTTTTCTTCAAAACAAAACCCTTTTACTCATTCTAGCAGGTCACATCACCATGCGTGCAACATTTCGTAACCTGTCCGGTCCCTTCATCAGGCAAACAAAAGTGATGACATCGGACAGGTTATGAAACGTTGCCACGCATGGTGATATCACCTGCTAGAATGACAAAAGGGATTTCGTTTTGAAGAAAACTTGGAGTGCATCCATGGCCACTTCAGCACCGACGCCCCCCCCCCCCCCCCCCACCAACAAAGGGTGCTTCTCTAATAACCCTCGCACCCCCCCCCCCTCGCCCCCCCCCCCCCCCCCCCCCCCCCCCAGCAATATAAGGGGCTTCTTAGTCAGGAGTGCGGTGGGACTCTCTATTTGACTGACTGAAGATTAGGGTACTTGCAGGAACTACAATGTGGCTGCACTTTTGCATTGTTGTCACCTTAGTGATTACAATGTAAAACTTATCATTTTCTTTTCTTATTTTTAGGAAAAATTGGACTATATCTTTAGTAGTTTTGACTGGAAACAGCCTAGTGTTCTACAAGGACCCTAAGGTTCCGGCCCCTTCTGGTTGGGTAAGTAATTATGAATAATATAATGGGTACCAAAGAGGAAATAGAATATACGCCTGTAATTTTTCCATCACAAGGATAAAACAATCCTCACCAAGTGTACTGGCACAAAAGGATGAGGTGTGTGCAACTTTATGATCATCTGATTACATGAAGATAGACTGTAAACCAGTTCTTTACTGCATACAAACATCATGTATGTGATTTACAGAACCTGCTGAAAAGAATACATATTCCTTCAAAAATTGAAAATCCTTCTGTTGAGGACAGCTAGGGAGGAGACATTTCCTTAAAGGAGAACTATGGGATCAGGGCTTTTCCCCATAGTTCTCCTTAGGGTAACGGGAGGACACAAACTAGCGTCCTCCCGTCACCCTAGGTCAGTATACTGCGAGCTACAGCTCGAGGTATACTGAGACGCTGCAGCCGGAGCGGATCCCGACATCGATGTCGAGATCCGCCCACTGGGTGAGTGACAGCTGGCTCTGCCTATCTAGAGGCAGAGCCAGCTGTACCTGCCCCCTCCCCCGTCCATTCCGCCAGTCAGCGCTGGCGGAGCGGGGAGAGGGGAATCCAGCCCCTCCCCTGTCACGGCAGAGAGCCGTGACAGGATCGAGAGGTGAGCGAACCCGGTATGTGTTCGCTCACCTCCCGATCTACTGAGCCGACCTGTGACAGTTTCATTGTCACAGGTCAGCTAGAACTATGAGGTGAGTGAAAAGCACTCACCTCATAGTTCTCCTTTTAAGGGGGGTCACAAATAGCAGTAAAATTAGACAGAAGTTTTCACTCCATAGGTGTGTGCAGGGGGTGTGCCAGGTGTGCCTCGGCACACCCTTATCAACCTGAGCACAACACCAAAACCGCAACAGTGGGCACCATCGGGAACCTGTGACAGGTTCAGCTATACAGAGCACAGCAGCACTTGCCACTTACATTCCTCGCATAACAGTCACAGTGTTTGGTGCCTGGGAAGCGTGGCTGCAGCTTCCAAAGCTTCTCATCCAACCAGGAAGCTGGGCGGGTGGTCACATGACCACCTGCCAGGCTCCCCCTGCTTCAATAATGCACCCTTACTGGATGAGGTAACGGGCAATCTTCAACTTGGAATTCGGGATGCCACATTATATATATACAGATGTTCCTCACTTACCGACTTACCTGTTTTGCGACCACTCGCACTTACGACTGACCGCCGATCGACCTCCGACCTTCCGCGTCAGCGTCAGCGCGACGGGTCGCCGGCGGAAGTGACATCCCCCGATCTTCACTGCAGGTCTCGGTAAGTATTTCCATTGCCGGATGTACAGTACACTGTTCGGTACTGTACATCGGCAACGCTATACAGTACTGTACTAATGCAGTATAGTACTGTATAGAGTTCCTCACTTAACGACCAATCCGTTTAACGACCTGGTCGTAGGAACGGAACTCGGTCGTTAAGTGAGGAATACCTGTATATATATATAGTGTATATTTATACTCCTGTGTTTCTGTGTCTGTACTTTTGTTTGCACACCCTAATGCAATAGGCTGCGCATGGCACCTATGGTTCACTCAGTTGTCACCTCAGTTACTGTCCCTGTGACTAGAGATGGGCTGCCGGTTACGTTCGACTTGAACATTGTTCGACCGCGCAACGTCCCACAAGGCAAAGCGCCCTCTGAAGCCCTAATTGGTTAAAGGCTTGCACCTGACCAAAGGTCAGGTGCAAGACTGCCCAATCAGGGCTCAGTATTGAGTTAGAGCCAAGATTGGGCAAAGTAATGATGAGGCCAAAATACACAAGTAGAGTACGGGAGTCGGCGGGGAGAGGACGGGACAACGCTGGACGTCGTGATTGACCCTGGATTACATCGGTGGATCAATTTTAAAAAAAATAAATAAAGGACTTGTCAAAAATCCTTTGTTGTGTTTTTTTTTTTAATAAAGGATTTTTGAAGTCTGGTGTTTTTATTCTATTTTTGAACACTTTAGTGAATGAGTAGGGGTACAAGTACCCCTTACTTATTCACAAAGGCGGGGGGGCAGCATCTGGGTGCCCCCTTAATTAAAGGAGTACCCCGATGCAAATAAGCCCCCTTGTCCGCAGACCCCCACAACCACCGGGTCAGGGTTGTGGGGATGAGGCTCTTGCCCCCATCGGCACGGGGACAAGGCGCTTTTCCAGGGGTGACCAGTGCCGAGGACATGTGGCCTGGTGCGGGAGAGAGGAGGGGCGTATGCTCGCTCGCCCCCTCCCCTTTCCGGCCCTGCCAGGCCTATGCTCAGATCAAGGGTCTGGTATGGAATTTTAGGAGGGCCCCCATGGTTTTTCCCCCCAATTTGGGGGTGGAGGTTCCTCCTTAAAATTCCAACCAGACCTTGAGGGCCTGGTATGACTTTAAGGAGGAACCCCACACACTTTTTTTTTTTTTTTACATGGGGTCCCTCCTTAATATTCCTACCACACCTTAAGGGCCTGGTATGACTTTGAGGGGGAACCCTACACACTTTTAGTTTTCTTTTTACACTGGGTCCCTCCTAAATATTCCTACCAGACCTTAACCTCCCTGGCGGTATGATTTTTAATTTTTTTCATGTCATTTTTCGGTCTATTTTTTTTGTCTTTGTCGTTTTTTTTTTTTTAAATATCCCGCCGGTTCCGCTCCCCCT